TTAATCGGAGTTTAGTCAAGAGAATCTTACGTCGATCGCAACGCCGCCGCGCCGTGCAGCGGTAAAAGCGCCAAACTGAACTATAGGTGGCGGCCGAGCGCCATCTAGCGTTGCCTCGCGCAACTAATCATCGCTGAACGCGGCCGAATCACAAATACGGGAATGCGGCAAGCGGCAAGCGTCCAAAGCGGTGACCGCATTTTATATCGGGCAAATGCGATTGGTCACTTCCAATGGACTAATCAACGATTAAGTTAATCGGAGTTTGGTCGAAGTGGCCCGAATTCGATCAATTGAATAACCTCAATCTTGATTTGGTTCTGTTTGATTGAGTTCTAATTTCCAATTTGCAATTAATTAGGCGGAATCTTTGACTTTGATCATCCGTTGAATAATTACTCGCTAGACGCTTTTCTAAAACAAAAAGAAAGGCTTTACGAACGCGGTCAGTTGTTACTTGCGGGAAGAACAAGTACGATTGAGGAAAGAACCTGTCAATCTGTCATTAAACTGGGGCCAATCTGGGCTTTCCGGAACTTTTACAATAATTTTGATTGTCGAGCGCCGATGTTCGCAGTTTCGAATTTTAAGTTGTCACAAGTTCAATGATTATGCTTCACATGCATTATATTATGAGCATTAAGTACTTTATTAGATAACGAATTATTTAGATTTAAAAATATTTTGTTGATAAAATCAAGTGCTGCAGATTATATGAACCTATGAGAACTTGGCAGGATGCCAAAATTAAACAGCCTGGCGATAGAGCCTTTCAAAGAAGACACATTGTGAAACAAGGTGTAAAATACGTAAGGTATAATGTTTATAAAATTTTGAATAAAATATTTATTCGGAGTATTTGTGCATTGTACTGAAAGAGAGTCTTATCCGTTCGAATATTCTTTCAAACTGTACTCTTATTTGTGCACATATATTATTTGTCGCAGAAATCTGGTTTGAAAAACTGAGTGTCTCTTTGAAAGGACAAGATGCTCGAGAGGTACAAGCTGCTTCGTCAAGACTTCCTTAGTGTAGCTGAGCCTCTCATTGACAGTGATGCCTTAGATCAACTGAAATGCAATTACGCATTTGAGATCGATTCAAAACGTAAATTGAGCATGGTGAAGGATCTCAAGATGTTTATAAGATTACTGGAAAAACGGAACATTATGAGTTACAGCGACATAGAGCCATTTCGGTACATATCAAAGAGGTATATTCACAAGCCCGACTTGGAAAGCAAATTGGAAGATTATGACAGTTGGCTGAAGACTGTGCCATTGTTACCTTCATATAAGTATCAAAGTGATGAAAGTGAGTATTTTTTAATTAACTGTGTGCTTTTGCACACTTCTGCAATTTGGAGCTAATACGTTACCTCTCTGCAACAGCCTCGGTACTGCCGTCAACGTCAAAGTCTACAGGCTCAGAGTCCACGTGTAATTCTATGTGCGATTTGTCTCAGTCATCAATAGAAAGTACAGCTAAGTTATTCAGTAATAGTACGCAGACGTTACAGTGTAATTCTGAACACGAAGAACAATGTAATCTTTACAAAAGAAAAAAATTGCTACAAGAAACAGGTATTTTTTAAGATCTTAAGTTACAATATTTTTATTTTCCTTTTCGTATGTATAAATGTCTTTTTTTTTCTAGTGTTGCTGCAAGTCAGAGATAGGCTGGGTCGATCTTGGCGAGATGTAGCTAGACATTTAGGTATTAGAGAATATGAAATTGATGCTGTACAAAGTAAATATCCTCATGATTTGAAGGAGCAAAGCTACGAGGTAAGATTATGCGTTTAGAATAAAGATTCTGCATATATATGCATGTATATACACACACACACACACACACACACTATGTAGGCATATATCTAAAATATAAACTTATATTGAACTTGAGACAATAATTTCTGTTTGTAGATTCTGAAAATTTATATGTCGCAATGCAACATGGAGCAATGGGCCATAAATTTAATACGTGCTTTAGAAAAAGGTAGACGGAGAGATCTTAAGGAACTTGTAGAGGAATTAATATTGAAAGATAAGAATATATGATATCAATACGAAATCTTTCTACGCAAGTCTTCCGTTCGAGCTTGCCGACGTTGTGCCTTAACTTACCCTCTTTGTTAATCAAATGTGATATAATGGGTGATGAAAGAAACTCGATAGTATATCGAGTAGATAATTTAATGTAGATATTATAGGTGATATAAATAAAGGTACGAGAGAGCATATGCCAGTACACCTTTTTGATATTTATAAGAAAATCTCGAGTATAATTGCATGTGTGCCTTACTACTGTACAGAAATATTACAAGAGGTTACAAGGATTTATTCTGTTGAAAAACGAGAGGTTGCACAAATTATATCGAAACATATAAATTTGTCCTAGCCATACAGTGTTATCAGCCACAAAAAATACAGCAGCCCGCGCGTATCTCTCTTAAATTATATCTGTTAACTATATACGCTATATTCCTTAAAAACTAAATTTCTATATTAATAATATGCTTATCTATTTCGCTTTAATATATGATTTATTGATTTTCATTTAGTCTCTGTCGTTATTACGGAAACATAACTACAACGACGACGTAACGTGCTTTCGAAAATGAAAATTTTATTAAATTTCTTTCCTTCAACATAATGCAAAGATAATAGTTCCACACAATTATATCAATATCTAATCCGGTGACTTTTGAATCAACATATTTTAATGAACTCAGGGGGTGATATCATAAATTTAGCGAAATTTAAAGTGTATAAGTATTTTTTGTTTGACTGCCAGCTTTGGCCGCGGTATCTTTATGTACCTGGTATCCCATGGTCGTTTTAGACGTAATCCTTAATCTTTCCTTCAGTTTTCGGCTAAAATCGTAAAAGTGTCGATAAGCTCAAAAAAATTCACAAGAGTCCTGCTGCAACAGTTTGCCCAAATTACCTTACCCAATTTCCATAACACTATCCGCGCAATCCGCATTCGATGTCCAGACACCGAGTTTGTCTCCTTTTGGCCTGACATTTACAACAGCTCCGCAAACGTCGTCGGAAAACTCGTTGAAGGCTTCCCCGATCATACAGAGCAGAATTTCTAACCAAAAATTATCTAGATCCGTAGCCCTTTGCTTCTTGTCTAGATTTATTAGCCATCGTCCGCCATCCTTGTTCTGATCGTCCTCCCACATAGGCCGAATTCCTTGCTTAAACATGCTATAGTCACAACCTTGCCTTAACTCGGAGGCTGTCTTTATGTGGTTGTATAAGCTGTACATAAAAAAAAAAAGATTCCTTTGTTGTAATTCACGTTCGTAAGTTTTTGACGTTTTTTTTTTATACGCCGAAAAAAGGAGGAAAGAAAGAAGAGAAACAGCATAGCTACCTCCAGAAATCCTCAGCTGTATCGAAGCTCGTTATCTCCCGCTGGCTCTCCTCCCATGATTTATTCCTGTCGGGCTCGTAATACCATAAAGTCCACGTGTTTTGCAGCGGATGCTTGATTAAGTATTCGGGTGGGAACTCGCCGGTGCTCGCTACTTCCGTATTCTGCTTACGATCGATTTCCTGAAAAAGATGTTTACGTTTTAGGTCGCCGTTCATCCCTCGGCATCCCCGCAGAATCACGATGGAAGGGTCGACTCCAGCGGTCACGGCGAGGGGGTGGGGGGGGGAAGGGGGGCGACCTTACGCGTGGCCGGGCTAACCTGTACGGCGGATCGCGTGCGCATCGTCTCGCCGGGTCGGTTTCACGCCGCCTTTCGCGATCGCCCCGCGGTATTTCCGGCGTAACGGCGATTATTTATAGATGACGAGGGGGAGGGGGGGCGACCGGCTGCGGCGGGGCACCTTCGCGAGCGTGAAAAGCGTCGCGGACCTCGCGGCTCTAGGACACTTTCTACACGGCGAACATTTGGAGCATTTGGAGTAACGTGGAGGCCCGAGGCGGTGGAAGAGGCAGAGAGGGACGCGGAGGGAGAAGGATATGGGAAGGATCCGCCGGGAAGGAATCGGCCGCCCGCACGCGGGCGGGAACGCCGTGGCCCCCGGGCGCGCCGTATCCCGCGGTGCGAGATCGGCGTTTCCACGCTGACGCGACGCGTTCCGTCGCGCGCCACGCTTTCGAAATACTTACCTCGATTTCCTCCGTGATACTCGTAGCCATGTCACTCCAATATGCACGCTCGCTCGGCTCGCTCTGTGAAAGCCGCGAACTGGCAGCGGAGGCAGCAGAGAGCGGAGCATCCGTGACATATGTCCGTTAGCAGCGCTCCCCGTCGGCGCTGCTCGGCACTGCTCGACCGAAGTCAGATGCTTCAAGCGATTTTATTATTATTAGATAAAAGGGATGGTTCTCTTTTGTCATTCGATGGTACATACGAGCACGCACAGGGTTTACCCTCACAAAGTTACCTGGAGCAAGGCTCGCCAGACTTGTATCCAAAAAGTTCGATTACGGTTCTTGAGAAACGAGGTGAAAATTACAAAAGTGAACAGATTTACTTGATTTCAACCAATGAAATAGATATAAGCTAATGAATTTCCTCACTTTTGTAATTTTTACCTCGTTTCAAGAATGAACCGTATAATCGACCCCCAGGACGGCCCGGAGATAAAGAAAAAAATTCATGATATACTATATATATATTATTGAGCGATCGTCATTGAATGGATAATATTACGTGTATTTGTATAATCAACTCAAAGTCGCTTGTATCAGAGAAATTAGAAAAATTAGCAGAGAGGATTTCTCATCCGTATTTCACACGTGATTAGGTCATTTGTCTATTATCAATTTGAATTCCGAGGAAAGGATTCTTTCGCGTATGTTACAAGAGATAAACGCGAACGCGACTTTTGGCTCGGTTTAACGATTTTTATGAAGAAGCTACCCAGGTAGCATTAATGTCTAAAAGACATCATAAAGATGTCTTTAAGATGCCAGAAATCTTTAAAGATGTCTTTATGATGTCTTTTAGACATTAATTGCTACCTGGGGTAGGCGACTGGGTTACCATCACGGACCAGGCTATACAAAACACATAGAGTATATCAGATGAATAAAAAGATGACAATTGACAATGCATACCCGATAACAAGGATAAGGATCAAAGAATTGCGCAATTTTATAATTAAGATTCAGGGAATGCACAATGTAAACTATAACACTGTGCATTATTTCGTTTGCGAAATCTCATCTACGTAAAACGTTACATGTTAAGAGTTTTCGGTGTGTCGCAGATACAAATCGCGCCTGAATATATATTTTTATAATATGATACAAATAAATAAGACTGCAGTATTTTCGCGTGATTTTTGTATTCTGAATTGATTAAGATTTTTAGAGGACATCTTTTACTTTCGCGAACGGCGCCGATATCAAAATGTTTGCTGCGTTGTCGCAAGCTTGATTTCCCCTTAC